TTTTTGCTGAAATGAACACGTTTAGAACTCCCTCGCACAGAGCCTTTCCTCCTTTTTCCAGAACAGAGAACACCCAGTTCTGACAGCCAAGAACTGGAGCAGCTCAGTGCTGCGAAAAGCCCACAGCAGCTGCTTCCTAGGAGATGGCTGCAGAGGCGAAACTGCCTCTCTCTTTTCCCAAAGCAATTCCAAGAATTTGCCATGGCAGACATGGCCCCCACTGCCCGCCAAGGAGCCTCTGCTCACAGCCCATTCCAGGGATCAAAGATCAAGGTGTGAAACCCTGGGGGCAGAAAGGGCACAGGACTCACGCTGCCTCTGGCGCTGCCTCGCTGTCACGTATCCCCGGACGCTGAAGTCCAGCCGCTGCAGCACGGGCTCCAGCCTGCGGTACATGCGCTGCCCCAGCCTGTGGTACACGGCCAGGGGCCACAGCAGGACCAGGAGCACTGCAGGGAGTGAAATGCAGGTTAGGAGGTTGCTCAGGATGCTGCTTGGCAAACATCCTGATGTTTTGTGATGCAGCACAACACACAGAGCACGGTGGATCTGAGCACTGAGGGCAGTGCTGTGGGAGGTTGTTGGAACAGGTGCCACCACCTCTGCCAATTTAACAAAATTGACAGGCAAACCTGTTGGTGCTCAGATCTGTAGTTACTAAGCACTCAAAAACCTTCTCTCCAGACCAGACTTTGAGTCCTGGTCAAGAACCACCAGATTCCTGGCAGAATGTATTGTTTTAAATTTTAAAGCCATTCACACAAGCTTTCCTTCTGAGCCCCATCCTTTGGACATTCGGCACCCACTCATCTCCTTTCACATGTAAGTCTGTGTTGGCACAGATATTTACTTACACAGCAAGTATGAGAGCAAGAGCCCAGGGATGTACTGGCCCAGGACAGCCAGGAAAGTGAACACTCCACACACTAGAAGGCAAAACTGAAGACATGAGAGACAGTGAGTTTCCAGGGTTAAGCAGTAGGTCCACTCACTTCTTGACCATGTCAGCCTCTGCAAATCCTGGGTCAAGTCATTATTCCAAAGAGGGTGAAGCCTTCACAGTGTCCAAGCACCTGCTCCAGCGTGGGCACAGACACAGGGGTGTCTGCCCTCAGAGCCACAGGCAGCTGAGGCCTCCTGCCTCAGGGCAAGAGGAGCTTCCCAAAGCAGGGACACAACAGTGAGGAAGAGGCTAAACTAAAGAGCTCTTCAAGGTGAAGAGGACAAGGGCAGTATCACTGTGTCTCTCTTCCCATAAAGGTCTCTCTTCCCATAAACTCAAAAAAAGAAGAAGGAAAAAACTTGACACACTTTCTCAAACTGTTAAAACCCAGTGAGGAGACAAATTTGGCAGACACTTGAAAAGCCAGAAACCTACAGAGGGAGCAGCCACGCTCTCACTTCAGTGGTGCAATCCACACACTGACATTCACTTTCTCCTCCCTCCTCCACAACCTGATTATTCTGCCTGGGCTTTCCATTCCTCCCCACCACATAATAGGCACAGTGTTGTGGGAGACCTCCCATGACAACCTCCCATCCAGGAACGTGTTCAGCCAGTGCTGGATGCCAGCACAGGAGGATCCTCGTGGTCAGCAGAGGCTCCACACCAAACAGGTTATTTTCTGAACTGCACATTCTTACCTTGCCAGGACTTTGCCTCTTGAAAACGAAGAGATTACTTAAGAAGTTGGTCCCAGTCACCCATCCTTCAGCCAAATGATGACAGAGCTCTGGCAGTCCGAGCAGCCGAGGGTGGACGTATCCCCAGCTGCAGTGAAGGCAGAATTTGGGAAGATATTGCTGCATCAGTGTCAGCCTTGTTACAAATACTTGTCTTAAAGCTTCCTTCTGTTCCCACCCAGCACAGAGCTCTAGAGATGAGGGTCACTTGCCCTCCAAGCAGTGCCCTGCCCAAAGCAGTTCATCTACAGCCCCTCTAGCAGCATCCCAGTGCTCCCACAGCAGCTGACGAGCAGGAATTCCAGTCAATGCCCTGGACCAGTTTCCATGCTGCTGGAGGGAGTGCACAGTGCAGAGGCAAATCAAGTGAATCCATTTACTGTTTCTGTGTTTATCTGGTCAACTGCAGCCTCCAAGTGTTCAGCATGAGGTCTAGAAGCAGCCTTGCTCCTCACTTCATGTACTCAGTTACTCTGGAGGCCTTGAACTGGTCAGTTTTGTTAGTGTTGCTTAACTGCTAGTCAGGAGTACCTGAAGGTTAGAAAGAGCAATTCCTTTTGTGCTTGGGCCTCTTAAAAAAGAAATTAATAAAGACAATTGTCCTTTGGCAGCAGCTCAGGTGATTTAATCAGGAACTGACATCCAGCACAGCCTGGCAGTGGGGCAGGAAGGTGTGCCCAGAGAGGCAGGTGTGAGCAGTGAGGCAACACCTCAGCATTTCTCAACCCATAATTAATGCAGCAGTCAGATCATAACTATGCAGAAACAACTGCTGGAACAAGCCTGTTAAATATTCCCTATCAAGTCTCAGAAGACTTCATTAATTCCCACAGAAATGCTGTTTTCCTGCTACTGGAGACCCATACAAGAGGAATTGCTCCTAAGGCAGCACCTCTAACTTCAGGGGGCAGGGAATCAAGCAAGCATAATTGGAGGCTGGTATGAAAGCAAAGTACAATAAAATGGCTTGGGAAAGAAAAAACTTCTCATGACCACCTGACTGCATCTGGGTCTCCATCTGCCCTCTGCTGAGCAGCTCCCAGGTCCCTCCTCCCTTCTCCCCCTCCTCCTCACCCCAAGGAGCCAACATCCCAAGCATGTGCAGGTAACAACACAGTATCACAGCAAAGTATCACAGCAGAGCAGTCAATTAGTTTCCTACCTCTCATTGTCTAATTCATCAGGTCTTGCCACTAAAATATTAAGAACAGACACTACATTAGTTGCAAGGAATTTGCCATGGGAATGCTTAGCTCTTGGGATTTAAGTAAAGCTTTAATAAGCTGGGGAACACCTGGAAAAGACATTAACTGTAATTACAGGATGGAGAAGCATCACTCCATAACAAATCTTGAGTGTGTACGTGTGACAGTACAGGACTGCAAGAGTCTCCCTGCTGCTCCTTGGTGTTTGCTGGACTCTAGAAGCTGCCCACTTCCCTCTCCCCCCCTCCCTGCACACACCAGCTGGGGAGGAGGAACAGCCTGCAGACTGGAAGGATCAGGAATTTAAATCCTTTGATACCTTCCCACCCAGGCTGGGACTTGAAAGAGATGTCCCAGCCACTCTGAGAGATCAAATCAGAGGGATGGGGGAGCTGGACAGACACTGTCTCCTAGGAAGGAGCCTGAGCCAAGCTTTGAAACCAAGGAAAGCTTTAATGTCTTCCCAGGAACTGCAGAGAACATGGATTGAAGCAGAAAGCTGGGAGCTGAACTTGCTGGTTAGTCAGGGAACCAGCCCTGGGAACATGCAGACCCTAACACTGATCCAAACTAACCTGTCCATGCAAAGCCAAGGGACCCCAGCTGCTTGGAATGGGGGTGTTCATCAGTGTATTAATGTCACAAAGGAGGGATACAACTGCTTTGGTTACTGAAAGCTGAAATCTAACTTCATTACAGCTGTTCAGATGCCTCTTCTCCCAAAGACATCTCTGCTCAACAGCAAGGCTGGGACTTGTCTTCATCCTAAACTGATTATGGATTCTGAGGGGGATTCCAGATGAGTTCCACATATGCTTCTATTTCTCACCCTGGTACTGAATGCTCAGAAAGTGAATCACTGTGTCCAACCTGCACTGGGTCACGTACATCCTGTGGTTCAGGATTACAAGACAAATACCAGTGTCACAAGCACAAAAAGAACTTGTGTTTACACAGATCAGAATATCCCAGCTCCAGAAAGAGCACGCCTGCAGTACTTCTGCTGGCTTCTAGACCCTTAAAGCAAAAAGTTGAGGTTTTAACAATGTAACTGCAGGCAGTGCAGAGCCTGTATTTGTGGGGCTGGAAACTCGGCTTGATTTGCTGCTATGAGCTCAAAATGCAACTTACCACCAATTTCTGGCCAGATTTTGTGCTTCCACTGGTCTAGACACACTACTACTATGAGGGTTAAAGCAATCAGGAACAGCAAACGAAGTGAAGTCAGAGCAAAGAACCTATGGGGAAGAAACCAATGAGTCGGTACTGGCCAGGTCTTTGTGAGACAAAAAGGGGTAACACAAACCAACCTCAAACCATTCACTCAGGGAGAAAACTCAGCACCTGCTACTCAGTCACCACGCAGCGTGCCCCGGGGGCATCTGCTGGGTGACTCGGTTTGCTCGTGTCAGTTCTGCCGGGACAGCCCTGCTGTACACCTCCTGTCCCGGGCAAGCTGCCCTCCCTCCCGTGCCACAGAGCAGGGATCAAACCTGAGTTTGATGCTCTCAGGTACAAGGAGAGCACGGGGACGGGGCTGCAGCAGACCCAGCGCTGCCGGTCCCTCCTGTCCGGAACGGGGCACGGAGCAAACCCGCGGTCCCTCACAGACCGCTCCTCCTCAAGCCCCCCGACCCCCGCAGCTCCAGCGATCGGGGCTCAGCGCCACCCGGTCCCTATCCCGATCCCGGTCCCGGTTCCGAACCCGATCCCGGTCCCAGCCCCGCCGCTCACCAGAACAGGCCGTGCACCGCCACCCAGCACAGCGCGCTGCGGCCCGGCCGCTCCCACACCAGCGCGGCCTGCACGGCGCCCAGCAGTGGCTCGTAGGGCCCGAGGCGGCAGCGCAGCGCCGCGCTCAGCGCCTGCACCCGCCGCTGCCGCTCACCGGGCCCGGGCCCCACCGCCGTTGCCGCCGCCGCCATCGCTCCCTCACGGCGTCAACATCCGCCCGCCAGCTGCGCGCGCGCGGCCGCTGCAAGCATGGCGGCCCCCAGCAACCGACTGCAACTGCACTCTGCGCGCCGCCATCTTGGCGCATGCGCTGCCCGCACCTCCTGCCGGGACGCACGCGCGTTGCCAGGGCGCCGCCGCGGGCGGAGGGGCGCGGCGCTGCCCCGGAAGCGAGCAGTGCGCACGCGCACTGCCGTTGGCGCCGGCGGGAGACGCGGCGGTACCGGAGCCGGGCGGGGCGCGGAGCGGAGCGGAGCCTCGGCCGCGATGCCGCGGGAGATCATCACCCTGCAGCTGGGCCAGTGCGGCAACCAGAGTGAGCGCGCCGCGGCCGTGGCGGGCCCGGGGGAGCGCGCACCGGGCGCGGTCGGGATGCTGTGGGGGGGGGGGCGGTTAGGGGGGCC